AGAACACATTGAGTCAGTTTTTCTGGATCAGATGTAATATAGCATGTTTGTGTTGACATCTAGCTTCCCTTATTCCAAATATGGTTCCTGATCTAAGCTTGCAAAGATCACTTTTTCTCATTCCCTAATGTATCTACCATAATACTTGGAAGTTACAGTTAGAGGAAAATACACACAAAATCAAGAAGGCTTCGGAAGTGGAATCTTAGTCTGCTTCCCAGAAGGGGAACCATCTGTCCGCTTTCCTTTCTCTTGTTGCCCTCAGTGCTGTGCACTACCACACTGAGTGGTGGAGGAAGAGTGTGGATCAGGTGGTTTTTGTGTAATCAACTAAAGTCTGGTATAGGAGTTCAGAGTTCAAATTTCTTTAATGCTAAAGAGAAAATATAACCTTGCATGATGCAGTTGGTTATGCTGTGAGAGTTGGAGTATGTAATCTTAGGAAGTTGAGGACTGTTAGGTTACTCATGGAAAATCTTAGTGAAAGAGTAGTTTAGCTTTTCATTTGCTCATGGAAGATGACTATCTACATAGATCTGTATCTGTTTCCTTTATTCTTCTGAAACTAATGCATTTGTAGTGTATTTGCTCTTCAAGAAGAATATGCTTAAACCCTTGAAGGAGGTAGCCTCAGAAGTAAATATTCCCCATATGCTGTCCTGTTTTTGCAAGACCAGACCTCATTAATTAATCCGTCTCTCTTACAAATGTCTTTATCTGTTTGTTGCACTCCATACTCCATTACCCTCCATTTTCAAAAAAAGTGGACAACCTCAGAAACTACGGGAACATTTCTCTTTTTAAATGAGTAGTTCACACCCCCCACACACCCTCCTTCCTTTTCTTTAATTCTGTGATTGCAGTCTGGGTGAAAAGTTCTCACTCATAGCTGCCTAAGTGCTAAATCCCTGTGATTAGTTCTCAATCCTAATTAACTTCTACATAGGTTTGGAAACTGTTCACCACTGATGATGCCCTAAAACTAATTCATTTCTTGGTTTCCATGACTGATAACTTTTTCAATCATTTATTGAAAAATCTTGATATCATACCTTTTACATGCAACCATTGCATTAGTTGTTGGGGAATAAATAAGAGAACAAGGAAATCTAGTCTGATATTTTCATGAAGTTTGCTGGTGAGCAGGGTCAAGATTATGAAGAGGTAAGAAAATAGTTTCACAATTAATTATTTGATTATTTTTATCAACACCAGAAAAGAGAAATATAGGGTTTCCATAGGAACAAATTGCAGGTGGCTCGAGTCTGTGGGTCCACAAAGGCCTCAGGGGGTGGTGAACAAATAAATGATAATTGAGCTTTCATTTTAAGGTTAAGCTCAAATGAATGAGTCAGAAAGTCAAAAGTTGCAGAAGTGGAGATGGAAGGTGGGAAAGAACGTTGTAATTCTCCTTTAATCTCTCTGACTGCTCTTGCGAGTCTACTAGAGGATTTCTCTGCTTTACTTATCCCTTAACTGTTTTTGACTCCTACTACTCTCTAAGCACCAGAAATGCCTCCAGTGTACTTTTATGGCCAGTATTGTTCTTCTGCGGATTGAACAGCTCCTCCAGAAAGTCTTGTGCATACTGTACACTCAACGTTTCTCTGCATTTCCAGAACCTGTTGCTCTCCTGTATCATGGCAGGAGTGTATTTCCATCCCCTGAAACTAGTTGGTGGGTGCTCAGGTCATAGCTCCAAAATTCAACCCTTGACACTTTTCTCTCCATTATCCTCAAAACCCAACCAACAATATCTATTCTGATTTCTTAGGCGTGTCCTAATAATTCTGTCTTTTTTAATGTCACTGATTGAGGTATTTAGCACTCATGTAGACTACTCTACCAGGACCTTCATTCTTCTGCATATTGTTGCCAGACCTACCTTTCTGACATGAAAACCTAACTACTTGCATCTTTGATGTAATTTTTGAATTGGCTGACCTTTGCAAGCTACATCAAAGACTTTAGTGATCTGGTCCCCATTTAATTCTTTAAGTATAGGTCCCCGTTTAATTCTTTAAGTGCATCTCCTGCTGTTCCACCACCTCTAACACTGTGACCCTGTAACCCTGAGCTGCAGGGGGTTCTCCCACGCACACATTCCCTTGTAATGCCTTTCCCCAGCTGGGTGGCCTCACTCTTTCTTCTAGAACCAACTCAGAGGCTATCTCTTTGCAAAAGCCTTCTCTTACTCTCTTGAATCTTAAATGTACCTTCTCTGCTGGTTCCTCTATACCTTGTGAGCTTTCTAATAGGGATTGTTCTCTTTACTCAACAGTGAGATCATAAAGCCAAATCAAGCAGTTCTTTTTTTCTTTTTCTGATTCACACTTAATCCAGCCCCCAGCTTTTCTATTTGTAGATAAACAGAATTCCCTATCAGTCTATCAGTCAATCTCATCTGAACCCATGGCCATCTGGTTTCTACCCCTACCACTCCACTTAAACTGTTCTTGCCAAAGCCATGAATGACGTCCAGGTTATTAAATTCCTCAGATGCTTTTTGGTCTTTATCTGACCACGTGACCCTTTTGCCCTTTCTTCCTCAGAAGGCCCCCTTGCTTAGTTTCTAGTAAAACTCAAAGTCCAGTATACCAAAGTCCTTGGTATCTAAGATACACATCATGAAGAAAAATCACTCCAAAGTCTTCATTTCCCAGCTGTCTCTTCTGAGCTTTCAATTTAGATTCCTGGTCATGGTCACTTTGATATTCCTTGGGCAGCTCCAACAGAATGTGTCTGATGCTGAGTTCACTGTCTTCTAGAGTATGTACGTCCTGTGTTCCATTTCTTTCACTCTCGTCTTCTGAATCCCCTCTGCTCTGGTCAGTCACACAGTTCTGGCTATCCTTGTGTCTCTTTATTTTCATTCATTCCCAGTTTCCCTAATCAGGGCACTGCCTTCTTATCCCCATAACTCTTGTAGTGTCCGGTGGTCTCTGCATCCCCTCCAGCCTTGCTCTCTCCAATCCTTTGTTTTGTTCTGTGATTACAGTGGCATCTCATTTTCAGTGTTTCTAGGATTCTGGAGAGAAGTTCAAGCTCTGTAAAAAGGTTCATGACCTCACTCATAATCCCCCTGTGCCTACTTTTGAAATTCATCATATCCTTTTCTTCACTCTCTATCCCCATATTTCAGCCATGCTGAATTTATGTCAGATCCTGTATAACAAGGTGACTTCATGGCCTTCCAATTTGCATCTTCTCTGGTATAAAGTACTCTTGGATTTTTCTTCATCTAGCTTACTTTTTTTAAAAAAGGGATTAATTTGAAAGTCAGAGTTAAAGAGACAGAGAAGAAGTGCAGAGATTTTCCGTCATCTGATTCACTTCAAAAATGGCCACAACAACAAGGATAGGACAGGCTGAAGTCAGGAGCCTGAAGTCAGGACTCAGATCTCCTATGAAGTTACAGGAACCCAAGCACTTGGGTCATCTGCTGCTGCTTTCCCAGGCACATCAGCAGGGAGCTGGATTGGAAGTGAAACAGCTGGGATGCCAGTGTCCCAGATGGCAGCTGAACCAACCATGCCACAACCCCTGCCCCTGCGATTGACTCTGGCAGCAGTTCCACTGCTGACCCTGATGTGCCACAGGTGGCATGGGTGTTCTGTATGTTTAAAACAACCTCACTTATCTTAGTGCTTACTCCCTTGTCTGGTTCTTAAAAGGTTGAAAGCAGCATGAAAGAATGGAGGGATGATCTTCCTTGTTCTTTGTATCACTAGTATTTTCTCTAAGAGGTGATTGATAAATATTTTTCAATTGATATTGAACGAATATCATTTAATCAATTGTTATTGAATAGACACCTTCCAAATTCTATCCCCACCTGGCACTGACATTTTTAGATATCTACTCCTCATTTCTACATGGATGGCCAGTATACAATGAAGCCATTGTTTGCCGTATACACCTGCTCTTCCCCATTTTGGCTCTCTCTCCTTTGACTCACTAAAACTGTTAAGTTCATTTATTGTCTTTTTGCCACTAAAAGAAGTAAAGGTTGTATTTCTTGTTATGTAAAGCACATTCTATGGCAAATATCACTTGGGAAATTGTGTACCTCATAATTTTTATGAGTGACTTAAAATTGGGGAATAATTGTTACTGAGAGGGAATTTTAGCTTGAGGTTGTTTTTTGCAGCCTCTGTCAATCATCCCAAGCTGTAGCTAGCAATGAGCAATAGTGAAAATAATCCTTAGTAACTCTAAACCAAATAGCACTAGGTAATAAGTAAATTTTCTCCACAAAAGCATACAACTCTTTCCAAAGTAAAAATAGATCTATTTCTGGAGTCCCTATAAGATTTAATTAGGTGTATGTATGGCTACTGAATTCTTGTCTTTTAAAATGCAATTCTGTTGTATCTAAATTATTTTAAAAAAAAGGAAAAAATGGATCTTCAGATGGTTTCCCCCATAACATGGAGGTAACGAAATGTAATTAGTCAAACTCTACTTCTTACGTAAGTCATACAGTCAATAGATGATTAAACTCAGATGTCACCATTACCACACGTACTGAAGACCCAACTAAGTTTGTGTACCTTTTGTATTCAGACCTCAAAAAATATATCTTCTGTTCATGCCTTAGGTTGGTTAACCAGAAATTTAAATAGATTAGATTAAAATATTAAAGGTAGGGAGATTTTGGAAATAACGAATCCTTAGGAAGCTAGGAAACTACATTCTAGAGAAAGTACCTAATACCACGGTTAGTTACAGCAGAGGTGGGACTAGAACCAAAGTTGTTGTATGAATGAAAACCGGGTTTGAAAGATAACAGTACTGTTTTTTGGAAGCTTACTAAGTGATTATTTCTTGGCAGATGAAAACGCAAAGAATAATATTTAGTTTGTCTTTGAAGTTAATATCAAAAATGATTTGGAAAATGTAGCTGTTGAAAATGTCCAGTGTTTATCTCTTACCTGATATGTACACACATTCATTCCATATTATTCGTAATTAATGAACATTGTTTGCCATACTTGCAGTGTAAATGAATCTGAGCCTTCTTTTGAAGCAACCAGAAGGTATTATTTCTATTTTAACCTGAGTTTAATAAATAACTTCCTTCCCTCCAGACTTTAATCTCCTATTCCTAGTCATCATTTTCATGATATTCAATTTATTAAAATGTACTAGCATATTTCCCATAGCAGTGGTTCGCAACTTTTGCAGGCTGCTGGAAGAATTATTTGCCAAACAAAATGGCTCATTGTATCGACTTCCATGAGCCACACATGTCTTAACTTTGCCTAGGGTTAGGGATTCCACAAAATAAAAATGTAAGAATTATATATTATACATTATAAAGGTTTTTTTTAAAGTTAATGGAAATGCATACTCCAAAGACATTTTGCATGGATTTCAAACATTTTTATTGCATCTAAAATAAACTTGCCTTTTAATTCTGTTTTTCCCCCACACACTTTTTGAAGACCTTCTGTATTGATTGTGAGTTATGCAATGATGGAATCTGCCTGTGAGGTGGGGATGGAGAACTCAGTACTTTATCTACAAAAAAAAAAAAAAAAAAAAAAAAAAAGTAATGAAACAACAAAAACAAAACACATGACCATGACGCCCAGGAGGAATGTGAAGCAGAACTGTCAGGGGTTGGGAACCACTGTTTGACTGCACACGTGATTATCCAAGAGATAATCTGTGCATATTCTGTGCTACCCTGTCTCTGTTTCAGGATGATCATTGAGCATTGCTAACAATTCTCTCCTACTATCTTAATCTTTTTAACATTAATTCCTTAATTAGTATTTACAGATCCTGAACTAACTGTGAAAATCTGACTTCTAAGCTGACCTGCCCTCCCCCACCCCACCCACATCATCCTCTCTGTCTTCAGTTTACCTGTATTTTCCTAATCGCTGAAGATCGCAGTCTGATATATGGACATCTGGTAGAACTTGCAAGCCAAAAAAATGGAGGGGGGAGAGGAAGTTATCATTTTTAAGAAATAAACTATTTCGATATGTTTTGAAATACATTTATCATGAATTTATCATATTTAAATTATTTTTAAGATTATAGTTATTTTTAAGGAGAAACTTATGATTAATAGTTCAGACCTTCAAATACTTTTTGAACCCAACAAAATTTGATGTTATACACTGTGTGACTTTTTGATTAAATTCTAATCCTTTTCATTTAAGTGGCATATTTAACCATTTCGTAATCAGGTTGGTGGTCTTTAAACTAGTCCCTTTTGGAAGTTTTCCATTTCTCTATTTGAGATATGTCATCAACTGTTATTTTCCATAGTTATACTAAAGTACACACCCAGCACAGCAACTTTGCCTAATTCCAGTGTATTTTTTTCTTTTTTGGTCTACAGTAGGAACAGGTACTCAGTGGCCTATGCAGCCCAAAAACCCTGGCTATTAAACGCCACAGTAGAAGAAAATATCACCTTTGGAAGTCCTTTCAACAAACAGAGGTAACTTTGAGCATATACAATGTGGAACTGAACGGCACCTATTTCTGATCCATGGATTTGGTCCATTGTTTTGGAACCTTTACGTCTGCAGCTCTCTTCCCTGCTCACCCCACTTTAATGCCCATCACTAAACGTTTTTTGTTTTCATTCTTGATGTCTTCAGAGGCAGGGAAAGGCAGATACATAGGGTATTGTTATTCATGGGATTACTCTCCAGATGCCTTCCATGGGCCATGCTGAAGCCTGGAGCTGGGACCTGAGACCGGGTTTCCCATAGGAGTGGCAGGGACTACTTAAGCCATCCCTACTGTCTCCCCAGGTCTGCATTAGCAGGAAGCTGGAGTCAGGAGCTAGATGTGACCCCAGGCATTCTCATAGGGGATGCGGGCATCCCAAAGGGTGCCTTAATCCCTGTTCTAAATGCCTGCCCTCACCAAGGGTTTTTGAATCAACAAAGCATATAGTATGGGAAGAAGAACTTGGATTGCATGGGATCGTTTGCAGAGTGGGCACAGGCAGAAAGGGAGTTCTGAAATCAGGTCACAAGAGGGGGCCCAGTGGGATTTAATTGTGTGCGTTCTGGGGCAGCACTCCTGACGTTAGAGACAAGCATAGCAAGGCAAGCCCGCTAATCTGGAAGTAAAATCTCTTGGTAGTTTATTCTGAGTTGGGAGCGAGGAGACCGCTAGGAGTGAGTCAGAATAATGATCCAGGCATGTGGTGGTTCTTGCTGCCCTTGGGGTGACAGCAGAAATGTAAAGGAATGTTGAGGAAGGAAAACATTCTGGAGTAAGAGAGAGAGGACAGATAAGAATAGGAAGGAGTCAAGGATAACTCGAGTATTTCAAGTCCAGGTGACAAAGGAAACAGAAATACCTGGTATTTCTTCCCGGTCCCTTCAATTCCTACGCTTCCCTGTGCTCATACTTCCCATGCATCTGATTCCCACTGCCAGCCTCGATCAAGTTGAGTACCATCAGCCATCATCATCTTCCACGTCCCCCTCCTTCATGTGTGATCGAGTGCAAGGACACCTATGTTATGTGTTACCCAGAATGAGCCTACTGTGGTCTGTCACCTCCCGGAGAGGTCTCTACCTCCTGGAGTTCCTTCCGGAGATGACTCCACATCCTGGAGTTCCTTTTTTTTTTTTTTTTATTTGACAAGTAGAGATACAGACAGTGAAGAGAGACAGAGAGAAAGGTCTTCCTTCTATTGGTTCACTCCGCTATGGCCAGCACTGTGCTGATCTGAAGCCAGGAGCCAGGTGCTTCCTCCTGGTCTCCCATGCGGGTACAGGGGCCCAAGCACTTGGGCCATCCTCCACTGCCCTTTTGGGCCACAGCAGAGAGCTGGAGTGGGAGAGGAGTAACTGGGACTAAAACCCGGCGCCCATATGGGATGCCGGTGCTACAGGCAGAGGATTAAGCAAGTGAGCCGTGGCGCCAGCCCTCCTGGAGTTCCTTAAGCTGCCCTTGTCCTCATTTTTCTCCCTGGAAAATTACTCCTCACCTTGCTGGATGCAGATTTGCCTGCCCTGCAACTTCCCTGAGTGTCCTTCAGTGCTTCTGTATTTTGGGAGAACTTTGTACCCACCTCTCACTAGAGCACCTCCAAAGGCATGTTTTTTTTTTTTTTTTTAATCAGTCTTCTCCACATACTAGCATTTTCCTAAGAATTTTAAATTTACAGATAACATTGTATGTATTTATCATGTCTAACAGGCTGCCTCAAAGCCAATATACATAGTAGAGTATCTAAATTAGCATCACCTCATATGGCTATCATTTTTGCAGTGAGAAGAGTGGCAACTCTTATCTGTATTTCTTTGTATCTGCATACCTCGCGTTATATTCTAAGTTGCCCAGGAAACATGTTTTTAGCCCTCAAGATACTGCATCTGGAGCTCAGTTTATGGGCAGTGTCTTAGTAGGTGTCTAAAAATTCAAAATCCTTTCTTCCGAAGGTACAAAGCTGTCACAGATGCCTGTTCTTTGCAACCAGATATTGACTTACTACCATTTGGAGACCAAACTGAAATTGGAGAGAGGGTAAGCTATGTACAGTTTAAGTAAGCATTGAACACAAGTCTAGAAAACTCTGTGGTCCATGCCATTAGAAATTCTGAGAGCTTAGTAGTTGAAGCTTGTGCCTAGTGACAAGTTCCAGAAATGCAACTGGAGACCTTTGATGTAACTCTCTATGAAGTATTTATTGAATAACTATTGCCTCCTTAACAGTGTGCTTGTCACTTGGGAGTTGTCAAGGAAAGTAAAATGTAGTCCCTGACTTTGATGTAAATATATATTATGCTTACCGTACTTGATTGGGAAACTGATGTGGCTTCCAGCAAATTCTTCCACTCTTGTCAGCACCTATTTATTCTTATTAAGGTATTCCTTTTTTCTTCATATGAACAGGTTTTTACATTGATGTCAAACTACTCTGACCAGCTGGAAAAGGTTTTTACCTGTGATTTTTTATTAAAATAATAATTTTTTTAAAGATTTTATTTATTTACTTGAGAGGTAGAGTTACAGACAGAGGGAGAGACAGAGAAAGGTCTTCCATTTTGTGCTTCACTCTGCAATGGTCACAACAGCCGGAGCTGGGCCGATCTGAAGCCAGGAGCTTCTTCCCAGTCTCCTATATGGGTTCAGGATCCTAATCACTTAGGCCATCTTGCACTGCTTTCCCAGGCCATAGCAGAGAGCTGGATTGGAAAAGCAGCAGCTGGGACATGAACTGGCACCTATATGTTATGCCACAGCACCACAGGTCACAAAATAATGGTTATACCTTTTTTTTAACTCTAATAGGTGTTAATTACTGGGGAAAATCATTATATGCATTATCTGTTTCCACAAGAAATATATTATGTGTTATTATAAGTGTTGTTATTATGAGTGTTACTACAAATGTATTATTAGTATTCTTAATATCTGCGTATTACAGCCAAGGAGACTATGGCTGAAAAAAGGTAACAAACATGACCAACTGTAGAGTAGATGGTGGAGCCAAGATTAGTCTGACTGTATAGTCTTGTTTTTTTTCCTATTTAAAAAAAAAGTATTTTAAAGGAAGATAGTGAGAAAGAAATAGACAACAATCTTCTGTCCATTGGTTCACTTCCCAAATAGCCACAATAGCCAGGGCTGGGCCAGCCCCAGCCAGGAGCCCAGAACCCTGTCCTTGGTCCCCGCTGTGGCTGGCAGGGACTCAAGCACTTGGCCATTATCTGCTGCCTCAGCACAGCCAGGACCCGAACCTGTCACTACAATATGGGATGTGGGAATCCCAAGCAATGACTTAACCACTGCACCAAACATGTGCTCCACGTAGACTTTGTTCTTCATCGCTATTCCTCTTTGCAGCATAGTATAGTTCAAGAGGATGAGATCAACTTCTCTGAGGCCCAGTGTCCATATACATAAAATGAGAAGAACACTTATGTAGTGAAATTGCTGTGAATAATAAAGGAGATAAGAAGATTAAAGCCATTGACTCAAGGTTGACACATACTAAATGCTTAAGTACAACTTCTTAAAGTAATAACTACTACTAGTTCATTATAAGAGCACCTTGTATAGTTCTGTTTAGCATAACTTGCAATATCAAATTTAAGAGGTTTGTATTAAGTAAACTGCACACACAGTTCTGGAACTAGAAGTCTTGAAATTGCTCACAGCTGTATAGCACTCACCAGATGTTTTGCTTATTAATACCTCTGTATAGCAGGGTAGAGTTCTCTGTCCCACTGAAAGGTGGATTAATGTTATCAGCCCAAAACACTCTTGGTATAATTAGAATATTGACCAATAGATTGTTTTCATTTTCTCTTACCAATGTTATGTTTAAATAATAAATTACCAGCAATTGTTATTTTAAAGACATCGGTATTTTAAAGCTATTTTTTAAATAAATAGATTATTTACTAGTGGAAAAAATAGCTGACTTGGGTGCTTCTTCCCTAGGGCATCAACCTGAGTGGGGGCCAGAGGCAGAGAATCTGTGTGGCACGAGCTCTCTATCAAAACACCAACATTGTCTTCTTGGTAAGAACGTTCTTGACTTTCATTCTGACTTCATTTTTCCCTGTGGACTAATGAGTCCTTAAAAAGACATGTCAATCAATTCAAGGACATGTGGTTTAACTTGTAGAATCAGAGAATTTCTTGGGAAAACAGATTAGTAGCAGATCCACAGTAAAAAATTCAGTCAGAACTCCAGATTGGTGTCCAAGAGGCTGAGGTATTCTGTGTGCTTGCTTAGCTGAGTTTTTTCTTCCTTTCTTTGCTTCATTTTCTTTTTTTCTTTTTGAGAGGCAGAAAGACAAAGAGACAGATAGATGTTCTACCCACTGGCTGTCTCCACAGATGCCCACACAGCCAAAAATGGGCCAGTCTGAAGCCTGCAGCTGTGAACTCAATCCAGGTCTTCTATGTGGGTGATAGAGACACAACTACTTGAGCAATCATCCGCTACCTTCCAGGGTGCACTTAATCAGGAAGCTGGAATCAGGAATGTAGCTGTGGCTTGAATCCAGGTACTCTGGTATCAGCTGCAAGCATCCCACGTGGCATCTTAACCACTATATCAAATACCTGTCCTAGTGGAGTTTCTTGGCCAGGCGGATTGTTAATGTGGGTGTGTGGATGGTGTTGGATTGACAGGGCAAGATCACAGATTTTTTTTTTTTTTTTTTGACAGGCAGAGTAGACAGGGAGAGAGACAGACAGGGAGAAAGGTCTTCCTTTACTGTTGGTTCACCCTCCAGTGGCCGCTGCAGCTGGCATGCTGCATCTGGTGCACTGCAGCCGGCGCACCGCGCTGATCCAAAACCAGGAGCCAGGTGCTTCTCCTGGTCTCCCATGCGGGTGCAGGGCCCAAGGACTTGGGCCATCCTTCACTGCACTCCTGGGCCACAGCAGAGAGCTGGCCTGGAAGAGGAGCAACCGGGACAGAATCCGGCGCCCCGACCAGGACTAGAACCTCGTGTGCCAGTGCCGCAGGCAGTGAATTAGCCTATTGAGCCACGGCACCGGCCTGATCACAGATCTTTTGATTTATATTTATATCCGTGATGCTTCCTGAAGCTGCAGAAGTCTTGGTCCTAGCCTAGACGTAGTGACTGATAATCTGAAAGAGAGGTATCCAGAATCCATGTGTTCATAAAGCCCCTTTGATTATTTTCATGACTATCCTGGGTTAATGCCTTGGCTCTACCTGTGGATTCACAAATAACATTTGATAATAATGTTGATTGTGATTTTGCCTTATTTTGGTAAGGGATAGCCTAAATAACCTAGCTTACAAATCGACACTGTATGAAAGACCATCAGGGTATATAAATACCTCCTCCCCTGCCTTCTCCTTCTGTGAAACTATTAACCATTTATAAATCTGGTTCCAGACATCCATTTGAGTCTCCACTCCATCTAATAGGCAGAATTACTTCAGAAGGGAGGTTGATTTGGGAGTATCCCACTAAGTTCAGATCTATAACTGGGCACGGTGGAAGAATTTGGACATACTAGAAACTCATTTCAGGTTAATGTCTCTAAGAGTATGTGTCTCCAAAGCACACCAGATAAGGCATGGCAGGGGAGAGGCATTCGGTGCAGGGATTAAAATGCCACTTGAGATGCCTGCAAGGCTTATCAGAGTGCCTGGCTTCCAGTCCTGCCTCTGCTTCTGACTCCAGCTTCCTTACAAAGCACACCCAAGAGGAGGCAGATGATGGCTTAAGTAGTCATATCCTTTCCACTCATGTTGAAGACAGGGATTACATTTCTAGCTCCTGACTTCAGCCTGACTCAAGTCCAGCCATTGAAGACCTTTGGAGAGGTACCTTTCCCTGAAGGGAGGAGAGAACTTCCACTTTGATTATGGCCTTGTCTAAATAAGATTGGAGTTGGTGAACTCAAGAGGTTTCCATAGCCTTGGCAACTCATGACAAGAGCTTCAGGTGATTACTGACGTCATAAGTCAGAGTGTCAATTGTTAAATCAACAATGGGAGTCACTGTGCACCTGCTCCCCATGTCAGACCTCTGTCCTTAATGTGTTGTACTATGTGAATTAATGGTAAAACTACTACTCAAACAGTACTGTATACTTTGTATGGCTGTGTGGGTGCGAACTATTGAAATCTTTTAAATACTAAGTAGATTTTCTGTATATAAAGATAATTGAAAATGAATCACGATGGAGAATGGGATGGGAGAGGGAGTGGGAGATGGGATGGTTGTGGGTGGGAGGGAGGTTACAGGGGGAAAAAGCCACTATAATCCAGAAGTTGTACTTTGGAAATTTATATTTATTAAATAAAAGTTTAAAAAAAGTAAAAAAAGAAGACCTTTAGGAGAGTGAATCAGAGAATCAGAACATTTTCTCTGTGTGTGTCTCTCTCAGCCTTTCAAATAAGTAAACATACTTTTAAAAAATTTAGAAATCCATAGCAAGATCTAGAAGTAATCTGTGTAACTAGAAATCTTTCCCATAGCAGATGGACTCACAATTAGAAATGACTTCTGCAACCTTGAGGACTACGTGACCAGGGACTAGGGACTCTGGAAGGGACCAAGGTCCACTGCCCTGGGTGTGCTTTTCTATGCCAGTCCATCACACAGCTGCAATTTAATCATCCCAGTGTACATTAATGTAAAAATTATGACGTTCAAACAAGTCATAGTGTTAACTTGTTGTGGATTCCTTCTTGTTCACTACAGTTTTCATTTCAGCACATCTAACAGCTTTTTGATGCTCCTGTCTTAACACACTTACCTTGAAGGCAGCCTTTTTCTTGTTGGACAGAGTATAAGTTTCCTATTGCTATTAGAACCATAATTAATGACTTCAACATACATTTATTATCTTACAGATCTGTAGACTAAATATTCAATGAAGTATCAGCAGAGCTGTGTTTCCTTTTGGGAGTTATAAAGAAGAATCAATTTTCTTGCCTTTTCTAACTTCTAGAGGCTTCCAGGGTTCTTGTCTCATGGCCACCTTCCCCTATCTGCAAACTCAGCAATGTGATGTCCCCATGGCCATTCCTATAGTCACCTCTGCCTATCTTCACAGCTCGGAGGGTTCTCTGCTTAAAAAGATTCATGGAATTATTTTGGGTCCATCCAGGACATCTCCCTATCTCAAAGTCTTTAATCAGATCAGAATCATATCTGCAAAGTCCCTCTTGGCATGTAAGGAAGCAAGTCACAGATTCTTAGGGTTAGGGCATAGGCATCTTTGCAGGCCATTGTTCTGCTTTGCACAGACAGCTCTTCTTATTGGAAAGTTACGGGATTAAAATTTGCTTCTGTGTATTTTCCTCATTCTAATGTAGCTACAAATATACAGCCATAGTTCTGTATTTTAATATTATTGTTAAAAATTAATTCACATTTCTCTAGGCTAAGTAAGATTAGTATCTACAAATCTTGCACAAATGACACAATTTGTATAACTTTTCTTAATCCTGGTTGCAGTAGTGTTTGTCAGAGTCCCTTTGAAAAAGTATGTGCTCAGTGCGCTCTGATCAGACAGATAACCTTAAAACTATTGGACCCCATAACCTAAATATTATACTTACTTCATGGCAACTTCAAATAGAAAAATGTTTTGACAGCAATGGAATGCTATTGGTATGTTTTAACAATTCTTCAAAACTGATAATATCATATGCTTCTATGCTTAAAAATACACAAAGCACTCTGAACCACGAGGTTTTCCATTTGATTCTCAGGACGGTGCTATGAAGGTGGATGGTGTCCTCATGTTAGCAAACAAGAATAGAGAGGTCAAGCATCTCACTTAAGAAGTAATGACTAGTGAAATGTAGAATCTGCCTCTTTCTATGGTGTTTGCCATCAGCTAAAATTCTCTGGCATTTTCTGAAATGATTAAGTTACTATCTGTGTTGTCCTTTAATATCCTTTCTTTTTCCCTCCTCTTCCTCCCTCTCTTCCCTCTCTTTTACTGCCTGCCTCTCCTCTTCCTCCTCTTTCTCCTTCCCTCCCTCTATCCTCCCCTCCTTCCTTCCTTTTTTCCATCCATGAGTATTTAATGACGTCCCAAGTGTCCATCTTCCATACTTGATGGACGAAACAAAGGAAAATGGCTTTAATGTGATGAATGTTTAAGGCTTTTGCTTGTACACATAGTCATAATTCTTTGGCTTTACATTTTACTGCAAATAAGCTTTATCTTGCCATCAAAGCCAAATGAAGAGATCTTCATGATGTATCAAGAATATTCATTGCTTTTGAAACTTTAAGGCATCTTTAAGTGTATTATGTATATCAGTGAATATATTAATAAGAAGTTATTTCCAGAAATACATCCATACAAAGAATGTAGTCATTGAATGTATAAGAGAATTCATTAATGAAGACTATATATATATGAAAAAAATGTTCTTTGTTATTGACAGTTAATCATACCTCTTTGTGGGGTATAGTGATTTGGGGACATAGATGAAGTCATGATACTCAGGTTTTCCATCATCTCAAGCATTAATCTATTTATTTATCTCTCCCACCTCTCTATCTATTTGAAAGGTAGAGGGACAAAGAGATGGGGGTGGCTGCAGGGAGAGAGGCAGAGATCAATCCTCCATCCCCGAGTTCATTCCCAAAATGGTCACTACAGCTGGGCGACACCAAAGCCAGAAGCCATCAACTCCTTGTGGGCCTTCCATGTGAATGGTAGGATCCCAAGTACTGGGACCATCTGCTGCCTTCCTAGTAGTTTAGCAGAAAGCTGGTTCAGAGTTGAGGTGGGCACACTCATAGAGAGGCACACTGATAGAGAAATGCAGGCTTCCCAAGCAGAGGCTTACCCTGCTGTTGGATCAAACTGTAGTCATTTACTCACAGCTAAATAAATAATAAATTCTTTAAATGAAGAACTGGTCATTTCTTGAATTGGCCATTTAGCAAATTACCTTGCCTTTTTTTTAAGGAAATATTGTCGCACAATGTTAATGTACAAACTGAATCTTGAGCCGTGATTCTTAACCAGTCAAGCTTCAGTTTTGATTAAGTTCTATACGT